TGTAATGAGCGAACTTAAGAATCTCTAAATACCAAATTTTATGAAAATTCAGTAATTTTTTAATTCTTGGACGCCATGATGGATTTGTTATTGGATTTTTGAAGATTTACTTCATCTTTGTTAAGACAAATCTTATAAATGATATGATGCCAAATATACAATAAATTACATTAATCTTTAATATTTTAATACACTTGATGTTATTTGTAAAAACTACTAAAGTTGGTCTAGTGAAATAAAAATGGTCGTAGATCCTGAAAGAGGCCATCGCATTAGTTTTTGGTAAAAGAATGTAGATCCTACTCGGCCCTACAATTTAGTTATATCTTTTTGAAGCAAATATTGCTGGAAAAATAAGCCGTGTTATTAAGGTGTTGATAATTTAGCAAGCAAGTTTTATTATGTAATATTTTATATGAAATTATTATTTTCCATGTACACAAAGAAATACCAAACCAGCAATTACTGTTATGATTGAAAGTTTCCATAAAAAAATTGTTAAGAAAGTTATCAACTTATAACTGTTAGAATGTGGCACGATCGAATTCGTTGAACTAAACGGATTCAACGCCTTTCTCAGCAGATATTATTAAAAGTACTATTATGTTCTGAGTTAGTTGGACATTTCTGAATAGGAATAGCTTTATTCCGGTTAATTTATCACTACATCATTACAACATTACGAGTTATCGGTCTTTTGGCAGTTAGAGCTAAATTAATTATTGGCATATTTTGAGTAGAATCAGTGTTGATGGTAAGGTGAGTAAAACTTTTGTTTTTATTTCGTATTGTTGCATTGTTGTTGAAATTTTCATTGTAGTTAGCTCTCTTTTGCTGATTCATTTTTTAAACTCTTATATTTCTTTAAAAAACAAATGAAATTGAACGTTTTTGCTAGTGCCAGTTGGCGTCGGCTCATCTTAATATATACATATGTATGTTGTTTTCATCCTGGTAATTAGACAGCTTTTTGTGTTTTACTGAAGTTGGTTTAGTTAGAGCTGTTTAGGTTGCCAGTACGCCACATAAAATTTTACTGCATAGAAGTCCAGAGGATCGAGCGCGTTACATCTATTAGCGTAAATGCCCCTAAATGTAAGAGTTTATTAGTAAATATTAGGACTTACAAACATGGGTTGGCAAACCTTAGATTTTACCGCAGTTCGGGCAAGTGTTAGAGCTGGGATACTATCGATAGTTGAAAACTGTCGCCACTCTACAACTCTACACATTACATAAATTTTTTTTATGCGAGAAAATTCACAACACAGTCGGCAAAAAAAAAATTAAGTCATTGGATTTTGAGATACGCCTCCGTATTTGATCTCAGTTGAACTTTTATAAGAATGAGCTGTCAATTTAAACGAATACCTTTTATTTTGTTTGTTTTGTAGTATTATAAATGTATGTTTATAGCCAATTTCACGTATTTACACTTTAAAAGGGACACACACAATCCGAATTTAATTTTGCCATATAAAATATTAATTCAGATCTTGCCTGTCGCTATTCCAGGGGATGCAGGGGTACGTATATCTACTATATATTTGTGAAAGTATGTGTGTATGTATGTATGTATGTATGTGCCAGATTGCAGTCTAAACGGACGAACAGAATCGAACAAAATTTTGACAGAGTATTGCCATTACACCTGGGCCTACAATAGGGTGGAAAAAATTGGGATCCGACAAGGGGGCGTGGCACCTCCCATAGGCGTGAAATTTTTAATCAGCCATAACCTCCAGACCATAAGTCACATGAACTTGAAACTTGGTATGCAGACATGTCAATGGTGGATGCTTATAGGCGGGTAATCGAGTTTGTAAAAGGGGGCGTGGCACATCCCATAGGCGTGGAATTTTGTATCAGCTATAACTTCGGACCCATAAGTCACACGAACTTGAAAACTGGTATGCATACAAGCCAATGGTAGGTCCTTAAAGGAGGGTATATATAAACGAGTTTATAAAAGGGGGCGTGGCACATCCCATAGGCGTGGAATTTTTTGTCAGCTATATCTTCGGAACCATAAGTCGCACGAACTTGAAATTTGGTACGCAGACATATCAATGGTAGATGCTTATAGGAGGGTATGTATAAATGAATTTTGTAAAGGGGGCGTGGTACATCCCATAGGCGCGGAATATTTTATCAGCTGTAACTTCAGAACCATAAGTCTCACGAGCTTGAAATTTGTTATGCAGACATATCAATGGTAGGTGCTTATTCGAGGGTATATATAAACGAGTTTGTAAAAGGGGGCGTGGCACATCCCATAGGCGTCGAATTTTTTATCAGCTATAACTTCGGATCCATAAGTCATAGTAGGATTGCCAGATTGTTTATGCACGAAATCGGTACACTAGTCCTTTTCATGCTAAAAAAATCAGTACTTTTCAGTACATTTTTATTCAAAGCAAAATTATGAATACAAGTAACAGAAAATAATTTAAAACGCCTGAGTTCTTGTTTTTAACAATATTTTGGTTTATAAATAAAGTAGAGTTCATAAAAAGTAAAAGTGTTATTCATTTTAACATAATTGTACTCATCATTATACACAGGAGCCAATAAATTATTTTATATTTGTGACTTTTTGAATAGCAATAATGAGATCATTCCCATTTTCCGTGTTTAAATAGTCTAAGAATTCTATACATTTCATTTTAAAATTACTTTTAATTTGAAGTTCACTTTCAAAAATTTTAATTAGAAGCCGATTTCTCTCTTTGCGCCTGGAAACAAACTTTATTCTTAAGATCCTCTAATACTGTGAAAAAGTACCACTTTTTAAGGAGTTCATCTATATTTCCTCATGGCTTAAATAATTTTTCAACTACGCAAAACTGTGAAAGACTAAGAATTCGCTAAAAAGAGTATCTAACTTTATGTCTTGTATGCAAAACTTTTTTACAAAGTCAGTAAATTGAGAAAAAGGAGTTGTAAGTTACAGGCAAAAGCCATTTGAATATTGAAATTTATTGTTATTAAACTGAAAGGTATTTTCGAGATAACTAACAACACTCGACAAAAATTTAAGCCTTCTTTTTAAATAGTTTAAGCTCCATCATATTATCGCAACTGGTACATAATGACCCGGCGATATGCCCATAAAACGATTGATCTTTTTGTTGTATTAATTTCTTGGGCATATCAAACATTATCTAAAACATGTCAACTATAATTAAATTATTTTCTTCTTATTTTTTACAATACAGTTTAAGGAAGTTCCAACGTTATGTAAAAACCTTAAGAAAATACTAAAGTATGTATTTTGTTAGAATAGAAAATTCAGTACAAATCAGTACAAATTTTGAAAAATCAGGACATTAGCGTACTGATTGAAGAAATGAATAAAATCAGTACAAGAGTTGAAAAATAAGTACTGTACTGATAAAAACAGTACGTCTGGCAACCGTAAGTCACACGAACTTGAAATCTGGTATGCAGACATGTCAATGGTAAATGCTTATAGGCGGGTATATATAAATGAGTTTGTAGAAGGGGGCCGTGGCACATTCCATAGGCGTGCAAATTTTTATCAGCTATATCTACGACGCCATGAGTCTCACGAACTTGAAATTTGGTACGCAGACATATCAATGGTAGGTGCTTATAAGAGGGTATGTATAAACGTGTTTGTAAAAGGGGGCGTGGCACATCCCATAGGCGTGGAATTTTTTATCAGCTATAACTTATTGGATTTTGCATATTGAATTTTCAAAAACCAGTTTGAAATTTGTAATGAGGGAACTTAAGAACCTCTAAATACCAAATTTTATGAAAATTCAGTAATTTTTTTAATTCTTGGACGCCATGATGGATTTTGTTATTGGATTTTTGAAATTTTACTCCATCTTTGGTAAGACAAATCTTATAAATGATATGATGCCAAATATACAATAAATTACATTAATCTTTAATATTTTAATACACTTGATGTTATTTGTAAAAACTGCTAAAGTTGGTCTAGTGAAATAAAAATGGTCGTAGATCCTGAAAGATACCATTGCATTAGTTTTTGGTAAAGGAATGTAGATCCTACTCGGCCCTACAAATTAGTTATATCTTTTTGAAGAAAATATTGCTGGAAAAATAAGCCGTGTTATTAAGGTGTTGATAATTTAGCAAGCAAGTTTTATTATGTAATATTTTATATGTAATTATTATTTTCCATGTTTAAGAAGTAATACCAAACCAGCAATTACTGTTATGATTGAAAGTTTCCATAAAAAAATTGTTAATAGAGTTATCAACTTATAACTGTTAGAATGCGGCACGATCGAGTTCGTTGAACTAAACGGATTCAACGCCTTTATCAGCAGATATTAACGGGTGATTTTTTTGAGGTTAGGATTTTCATGCATTAGTATTTGACAGATCACGTGGGATTTCAGACATGGTGTCAAAGAGAAAGATGCTCAGTATGCTTTGACATTTCATCATGAATAGACTTACTAACGAGCAACGCTTGCAAATCATTGAATTTTATTACCAAAATCAGTGTTCGGTTCGCTTTACGTCCGATTTATGGTCTACATAATCGACCAAGTGAGCAAACAATTAATGCGATTGTGACCAAGTTTCGCACTCAGTTTACTTTATTGGACATTAAACCAACCACACGAATGCGTACAGTGCGTACAGAAGAGAATATTGCGTCTGTTTCTGAGAGTCTTGCTGAAGACCGTGAAATGTCGATTCGTCGCCGTTCGCAGCAATTGGGTTTGCGAAACACATTTCGAACCGAACACTGATTTTGGTAATAAAATTCAATGATTTGCAAGCGTTGCTCGTTAGTAAGTCTATTCATGATGAAATGTCAAAGCATACTGAGCATCTTTCTCTTTGACACCATGTCTGAAATCCCACGTGATCTGTCAAATACTAATGCATGAAAATCCTAACCTCAAAAAAATCACCCGTTATTAAAAGTACTAATATGTTTTCAGTTCGTTAGACATTTCTGAATAAGAATAGCTTTATTCCGGTTAATTTATCACTACATCATTACAACATTTCGAGTTATCGGTCTTTTGGCAGTTAGAGTTAAATTAATTAAAGGCATATTTTGATTTGAATCAGTGTTGATGGTAAGGTGAGTAAAACTTTTGTTTTTATTTCGTATTGTTGCATTGTTGTTGAAATTTTTTTCATTGTAGTTAGCTCTCTTTTACTGATTCATTTTTTAAACTCTTATAATTCTCAAATGAAATTGAACGTTTTTGCTAGTGCCAGTTGGCGTCGGCTCATCTTAATATATACATATGTATGTTGTTTTCATCCTGGTAATTAGACAGCTTGTATAGTGTTTTACTGAAGTTGGTTTAGTTAGAGCTGTTTAGGTGGCCAGTACGCCAGATACTGTAAGAATAAATGTAAGAGTTTATTAGTAAATATTAAGACTTAAAAACATGAGTTGGCAAACCTTAGATTTTACCGCAGTTCGGGAAAGTGTTAGAGCTGGGATACTATCGATAGTATCGATAGTTGAAAACTGTCCCCACTATCGATAGTTTTTGAAAACTATCGATGTCGGTTTTAGCAAGACTTCACAATGTCTCTTCTTTACATCTCTACAAATTACATGGATTTTTTTTATGCGAGAAAATTCACAACACAGTCGGCAAAAAGAAAAATTAAGTCATTGGGATTTTTAGCAACTATAAGCTTACACTGAGTTATAGTAAAATTTAATAAGCTATAAAACTGCTTACACAAAATTTTTCATAGAAATTCGAATTAAAAAGCTTCAATTTTTAATTATTTTGTAGTTTTTTATGTTTGGCACAACTTTTATAAAAAATTAGTAGACACTAAATAAACAAAAAAATTATCAAAACTGCTAAAAAATGTTGTGGTGCTATTATTATGAGCAGTACTATATTCGTTTTCTTATGATATAGTAAAATGTTAATAATTTCCCTTCACCGGATTTTGAGATACGCCTCCGTATTTGATCTCAGTTGAACTTTTATAAGAATGAGCTGTCAATTTAAACGAATATCTTTTATTTTGCTTGTTTTGTGGTATTATAAATGTATGTTTATCGCCGATTTCACGTATTTACACTTTAAAATGGACAAACACAATCCGAATTTAATTTCGCGAATATAAAAAATAAATTCAGATTTTGCCTGTCGCTATTCCAGGGGATGCAAGGGTTTGTATATCTACTATATATTTGTGAAAGTATGTATGTATGTATGTATGTTTTTTTTTACGAGGAGGAAGCATCGAAAGCCTAACCCCGTCAGTGTGAGACTAAACCTCCTACCGTCATGTACCGTTCCCCTCCCGGTACTGGTACCAAGTATTTCGTCGGCGGGTGGGTTGAGCACGAAGCTCTACGTTAGTTGCAGTCCTGATGCAGTCCGTTTGAAAGTTGTATTAACTTGGAGCCGTCCTTTGTCTTCGGGTCCATGCGTCCCCGCCCGCCATGTTCTGTCCGCCTATTACGTAACGCCTCTGCTATCTTCTTGCCTCAGCTGCTAGTGCCTCGACAAATATCGTGCCTGGTGGTAGATATTTCATCTGGGCGTAGTTATGTGTCGTCCATTTCGACGCGGCTCATCTCTTCTCAGTTGGGTCAAAATGTGCGTGACGGCATTGTTCACCGCTTCCCATTTTCCAACGGATTCTATCATGTGAACTACCATGTTTTCAGGTGTGAGGTGTTCTCCAAATACAGAGCGAATGTGGTTTTTATCCAGATCGAATCTCGGGCAGTGGAACAAAACATGTTCGACGTCTTCGATAATGCCATCACCACACGCTTCGCAATGGTCAAGCTCTTCGTGTTTGAAGCGTTTCAGGAACGATCTGAAGCAGCCGTGGCCGGTGAGCATCTGGGTTAAATGGAAGTTAGCTTCGCCGTACGGGCGGGAGAACCATTTTTCGATGTTTGGTATTAGTCGTTGTGTCCAGCGTCCGTTGGACGATTCGTCCCATTTCTTCTGCCGCATCTCTAGCGTGTGTTTACGGGCTAGTGCTTTCCTAGCAGGAAGTGCTAAATTGCTAGGTGTATTCATTGACAGTTCTTTCGCCAGAAGCTCTATTGGGTGTAATTCAGACAGTACTAGAGCGGCGTCTTCGGATACGGTACTATAGGCGAAGCAAACCTTTAGCGCACATAGCCGCTGAGACCGCGAACATATGACCTTACTTCCACTGCGTAGCTCCACACTTGTGCGCCGTAAAGTATCACAGATTTGAGAACCCCGGCTAGCAATCTTCTGCGGGCTTGTTTTGGCCCTCGGAGGTTTAGCATCATTTTAGTCAGGGCACAACACACCTTACTCGCTTTCTCGCAGATAAATTCGAGATGCTCCTTGAAAGTTAGTCTCGCGTCAATCATTACACCAAGATATTTTATGGCAGGCTTTGTGAAGATTTCGCAGTCCCTAAGTTGCAGAGTGAGGGTCTCGCGGATTTTCCTTCCAGTGACTAGGACTGCCTCCGTCTTATGCTGAGCTAACTCCAGCCCCATTGAGTCCAGCCACTGTGACCCCATCATTATTGCAGCGGTTGCAGCCGCCTTTATCTCGTATATATGTTTTGCTACTACGACAATAGCTATGTCGTCAGCGAATCCCACTATCGTTACATCTTTCGGGAGCCGCAGTCGAAGTGCTCCATCGTACATCACGTTCCAAAGAAGCGGTCCCAGTACCGAGCCTTGAGGAACCCCGCCGGTAATTTTGAGTGTTTTACTACCTTGTGCAGAGCTGTATTGGAGGATTCGATTTTCGGAGTAGTTTGCAACAATTCTGAGGAGATATTTAGGAACTGAAAATTGTTCTAATGCCAACATAATTTTCTGCCAATTTGCAGTGTTGAACTCGTTTTTTATATCGAGAGTAACTATTAAGGAGTATTTTATTGTTCCTCCCTTCCAGCGTTTGCCTGCAATTGCTTTTGCGGACAGGTCTCTGACAACTTTTATCGCATCAATGGTGGACTTTGATTTACAAAAGCCGAACTGGTGGGGTGACAAACCACCAGATGCTTCAATAGCATTTTGGACGA